TGTGATAGGCAAATCCCACCTAGATTAAATAGAAAATTTATAAAACAATTGTAAGGTCAGCTATGTTGTATGGAGAAAAGTCTTTGGCAATTAAAAAACATGTTAAAAAAATGGGAGTGGAAAAAATACATATATTGAAATGGATGAATGGAAAAATTGGAAAGGATAGGATTAGAAAAGAATCTATTTAAAGAAATCATTGATTAGCTCTAATAGGTGATAGAATGAAAAAGTAAATTAAGGTGGTTTGGTCATGTTTATAGAAGACCTTTGGAAGCACTTACAAGAAGTGATTTATTGCAAGTTAAAGGGGCTAAAATGGATAGGGTAGACCAAAAAGAACATTGGTCTAGAAAATGATTAAGTGTTAATTGCCTATTAATTTAACAATGGACTAAGAATGATGAAATAGGATTCGTGTAGTCAAATAGATATAATTGGGATAAGGCTTGGATGACGATGACGATGATATTATGTTATTATATATAATAGATAACATATATTATCATATTATATTATCTAATACTTTAATTATATCATTTCATAATGTACATCATATATGCATTATATTATTAAAATTAAAGCCACATTGACTAACCTTAGCAGCCGAATTTTCCATACAACATGTATTTATTATAATCATTATAAGTTTGTGTAAATAGAGCATTTATTGCTATTTCTATATTTTTTAAGGCACATTCAAATATAGCTTAAAATCTATGTAAAGCAAGGTTGAACCGTTTGGACCAGAAACCTGCCACCAATTTGTTTTTTCTTTTTTTTTTCATTGCCCAGACCATTATTTTACAAAAGAAAAGCATTGAATTAGTCAACAACCTGCTAATGGTCTAACCGTTGAACCATTTGATCCAAACGATGGTTCATAATTTAAAAATAACAATTGAAATATTTTAAAAATAAAATAAGAAAAAAAACTAAACAAGGGTTGATTGGTTGGTGGGGAAGAGAGACAGGTTAGTGGAGAGAGGGGGGCACTGAAAAAAGTGAGAGGGAGAGAGGAACCAAGAGAGGTTGTGATGGTGAGGAGAGAGGACAAAAGAAAAATCAAAAAGACCATGAGATGGATAGTGAATTACCAATTTAGAATCACTCTTAATAGTAATATTCTTGTTGTTGAAATTAAGAGCCACATTGTGGGCTTCCCAACCAGCCCATGCTTCATCCATTGATGCAAGAGATATCAAAGTTAATCTTAATTGCATCCAAATGCAGGTTTATCCATCTATTTTTCTTTGCCAAAACTCAAATTAATATCAATGTAAGACCGAATTTCTAGGAAATAATTTAGGGCCCTATCAATAATAATAGGGGATATTTTTATTATTAAAAAAATGTTTTCATTATGATTCTTCTATAACTGCAGCAAGATTGGGAATTTTTCTCTATTGAAAGGACCATTTAGCATTCCACCTCTTGACTTTCCGCTAGACCTGTTCATGGGTCGGGCTGGGCCAGGCTTTCACTCTGCATTAACATAATTTTTGTTGGCTCGAGCCCGATCCTGGCTCAACCAACAGGCTTACAACTTGGGCCCGAGCTCGGCCCTCATAAAAAGCTTGAAGCCTGAGAGAGATAGGGAGAGAGGAATCGACTTACAGAATAGAGAGAGAGACCGAGAGAGAGATAGAGAGAGAGGAATAGAGAGAAATTTGTTTGACTTCTATGATAAAGAGGAAGATAACGAGAGAGAGAGAGAGAGAGAGAGAGAGAGAGAGAGAGAGAGAGGACCTGATCACTCCACTCGTCAACACTCAAACGACAAACAATCTTACTCTCTTTCGAGAAACTCATTTCTGTGAGACTTGCAGAAATTCTCTTGTTTTGTTTCCTGCTTAGATTTTTTGGGCAGTTTCATACTTTTTCTTCTAGCTTTTTCTCTTACCCAATTCCTACATTTTGAATTCTTCCGGCTTTAGCTATTACACAGGTTCAGAAGGATGAATATTACACTAGGACTGGTGTTGTTTCTCTTACTTTTCCTTTCTCTGTTCCTTTCATCCTTTGCTTTGCCATCATGGACAAGTTACACTTTCTGAGAGTCTTTCGTTCTTGCAATGATCTTCCCATTTGAGTTCTTTATTCACTGGAACTACAACCCATCTTCACCGCCGGTCATTGGTGGTGCCGATTAGAGTTGAGAGTGAGAAAGAATGAAATATGAAAAGGGTTCGGTTTAGGAATTTAGGGTTTAAAAGTTATATATAAAAGTCGGGCCGGGCTTTTGTGACGAATCCCGAGCCCAGCCCGTAAAACAATCGGACTTGTGCTTTTAGGCCCGAGGTCAAGCCCGTGGGCTAATAACTATATACAAACCCGTTTGGGGTCAGGTCAGGCCGGGCCAGGCCGGCCCGTTGGGCTACCCGGCCCATGAACAGGTCTACTTTCCACCATTTCAAAATCGAGTCATTAGTACTAATGGACATGTTCAAAGAGTCTTGAGTGGTCAACTATACTTGCCTAGCCAAAAGGCAGTTTATAAAAAGGGTAAATTATGGTCAGTGACAAAGAAGACCACCTATACTTTAATTTAGGGCCCTATCAATAATAATAGGGAATATTTTTATTATGATTCTTCCATAATTGCCATAGCAAGATTGGGGATTTTTCTCTATTGAAAGGATCACTTAGCATTCCACCTCTCGACTTTCCACCATTTCAAAATCAAGTCATTAGCACTAATGGGCAAGTCCAAAGAGTCTTTAGTGGTTAACCATACTTGCCTAGCCAGGAGGCTGTTTATAAAAAGGGTAAATTACAGAGTTGTGCTATGGGGTCAGTGACAAATAAGACCACCTATACTTTAATTTGTGACAAAGACCCTTTGAATTTTTATTTTGCGATAAATACCCCCTTGGCTGTTAAGTGAGATGAAAGAAATCTCTGGTAAGCTAATTAATAAAGGGACACACACCATTGGAAAAGGAGAAAATATCTAGTGAGTTAATTAGGGACATATACCTGTTGGGAAATGGATTTTGAAAACTCTAGACATTCATCGTTGTCTTTATTGTAGCCATTTCAATTAACACATCAATGGAGAAGACAATGAAGAGTACAAAGTGTACAAAAAAAACCTAAGATGGTTTCATAAACTAATGAAAATGGTAAAATAAATGAGAAAAGGGTAGTTTGAGTATTTAGAAAACTTTAAAGTCATAATAAGAACCTTTTTTGAAAATTAAGTATGGAATGTTGACAGAGGGAGTCTTTGTCTAACAGCTAAAATTTAGGGGGATCTTTGTTGCAAATTGAAGTATATTTTGTCACTGACTCCATAGTACAAGGGGGGTCTTTGTAATTTACCATTTCCCTGTACTATGGGGTCTATGACAAAGACCTCCTGTACTATGACCGTGAGACAAAGACCTCCTTCCGTTAGCTTTCCGTAGAAATCCGTCATTGCAATATTTTTTAATCTCCATTCTACCATCGTAATAACTATTTGGACAAGTGAGAAAAACAATGTTCATGTTTCCCAACCTCGCATACACGAATACGAGGGTGGTAATCTCTTCTACCTCAGATTCCTTCACATTTCTCTCTCTCTCTCTCCCGATCTCTCTTCTCCCCCTTCCCCTTTCTCTCCTCCCCTATCTTCTTCCCACTTTCCTCTGTTTTCCGTTCCTCTCGGCCATAACCGCCATAACTCATTGCAGCGGATAATTCAATTGTTGAGGAGCAGATCCCAATTCTCTCATTATATTGGATAAAAAGTAGTAATATTGAGAAAAAAAACTGCTAATCCATCGGATGTTGCTCAAGTGCTACCATAGTCAGGCTCGAAGGAGAGTGATTGGATCAGCATGTTGCCCAGGCAACTGTCGGATAACTTCAATCAGTATGGAGGTTATGTCACGGTGGATGGATCCGCTGGTCGAGCTCTTTTCTACTACTTTGTTGAAGCTCCGGATGCCATGTCCAAACCTCTCGTTCTTTGGCTCAATGGAGGTGTTTTGATATCAACTCTTTAATGGGTTTAATTTTCTGGGTTCATGCTATAAACATCTCTTCATTACAGTGATCTGAGTGTTTTTATTGTTTTAACCATTTTCAAGGTCCTAGGTGTTCTTCACTTGGAGATGGGGCAATGACGGAGCTTGGCCTGTTCAGAGTGCAAAGCGATGGCATAACACTTTATTGAAACCCATATGCATGGAATCAAGGTTGTTGAATAATTCAGTAGTTGATCATTTTTCTCTTTTGGTCTCTCTTCCTTTCAGAGATTCTAACCTGATCTTAGTTGGTTAGTTTCCCATTTCTGTAAACTAATCTTATTCTCGCTGTGGTTTCTAGTGGCCAATGTTTTGTTCCTGAAGTCTCCTGCTGGTGTAGGTTTTTCCTACTCCAACACAAGTTCCGATTACAGTACAAGAGGAGATCAAATAATTATGTGTTTCTGGTGAATTGGCTAGAGAGAATCCCCGAGTACAAGACCAAAGATTTCTATATTGTTGGAGAGAGCTACGTTGGGCACTATGTGCCTCAGCTTTTGAGTCTCTCACTTTCTCTTTCTCCTGGGTTAAAACGAGGATAGAGAACCGGTTTTATGGTATCTGATCTGTGGGTCATTTCTGTTTGCAGATTGGCAATCGGCAATCCATTGATCCATGGGGAAACCGACATGAGGGGCATGTATGACTACCGTTGGACACATGCTCTAGTTTCTCACGGTCATAATACTGGGGGTCTTGGGGTCTTTGTCGCAAAACAAAAATAAAGAGGGGTCTTTGTCACAGACCCCATAGTACGGGGGCGTCTTTGTAATTTACCCTAATAAAAATGTGATCAATGTCCCCAACGTTCTTCTCTCTAATTATAGCTCCGTGATTATGAAAGTGTGAAAAAAACTTATGCCAAGTGGCAAGATATTCATTCCACGTAAGCTCCACATGGAGCAAGGACTGAATCCTCTTGCTGACTAGGATTGGCAAAAGTCATCCACTAGACTGGTCGATATATAGTGATCCCTGCAGGCTGCCCCGGTGTCACTTTCATTTCTTACCCAAAACTCCAAAAGCTTCCCTCCTTGTAGAATCAGGCAAGAGAGAGTATGGGGTCTACGGGGACCGAGTCGTACCAACTGGCCCAATATGACGTTTTTCAACGCTATCGTCAGTGTCCGAGGGCCTCCCCTTACCCCATGTGCATCGCCATCAAATCCTGGACTCGGACCACTGCGTAATTCTGATTCAGTGAACCTACCTTCCTTATGTTCACTAAAATGACTGAACCAGTCGTCGTTGTATTTCAGTATTTGTACCGGCTCCAGGCAGCTGGGAAGAGCCATTTTAGCTCGCTCATCATCAACTTTTATTACTACTTTAGTGAGAAAGCCAGTCGATCCGAGTAGCCGAAGCCGAACGCCATTGCGAGCCTCAGTCAAGTGAGACGAAATTCTTTTTCGTTTTTTTTCTCGGTAAGCCACCGAGCCGTCGTCTGTGATTTTTGTTTAAATTTAGTCGATTAAAATATTTGGAAATATCCGCCATCTTATATATTTATGACTCATAGCTTCTGAGGGTTCATGCATACACAGATAGCACAAAGGAAACAGAGCTTGCAAGAGTGATACAGTCCATCAAATGGCAGGGCGTTTGAGCTCCTTGAGGAGAGGGTATAGAGAAGCCTGCAGCACTATTCTTCGGAAGATCGAGCTTTCCTCTCGGTCTGTCTCCACTTCTTCGTCCTTTGTAGAGAAGATCAGGGATCTACCCAAGGAATTTCCAGGAACTAATGTCAAGAAGGATGTTTCTCAAGTAAGTTTATCATAATTACCCCCTTGCTCTTTACTCTTCAGATTTCCTTAAGGTTCTTTCTTCTTTCCTTCTTCAAAGAAACAAACTGTGCTCCCTTTGCCATCGGTAGCTGATAAATGCTTCCTTCTTCCATTTTTTCGAAGTTCTTTTGCATCATACATTGAGCTCTGTTATTTTACCTTTTCTCTTTTACTAATTACTACGACTTTTCCGATTTTCCATTTTAAGATGAGCAATGCTAAAAGCCTAAGACTGTAGAGGTAGAGTTAGAGGTCAATGGATCCATTCAGCCGTTCATAATTCCTTACTATCAGCTAAATGAACGGAAGAAAGCCTGCGACTGTGTTATCTCCCTCTTTGAGTCAGTCCAGTTTTTGGTGAAGCGACAGGCCCAATGTGTTCTGGGACTCGGACCAGAGACGGACCGTTTAACTCGTTCATCATCAATTGATCCTAGGTCCCACTCCCACCATGTATGCGATGTGCGGATTGTTGGAACAATTTTCTGGTATCAATAAATAAATTCCAACATGGATTTAGAATTCGAGGCTTGAAGCCCAATGAAATCATTTGCAAGCGCCGTTATGGCGTTACCTTAGCTGCCGAAGCAGAGGTTTGGAAAGAGTAAAAATGAAAAATCAACAAAAGCATTTATTGACCATAGTGCTCCTGTTGTGTTTTTTTGGTTATTTATTAAAGCACCCTATAGTTTCATAAATTTACTAAAACCTACACTTTAGTTTGTGTTTTACTAAAACATCCCTTGAAGTTTGCAATCAATTTACTTAAAAGGGAAGTCAAACTGCCAGTTTGGTCCCCAAGCCTTAAAATGTGACAATTCAGTATCTGAACTTTCAAAGCGTGCCAATCTAGTACCAGCCGTTAATCAGCCGTTAAGTGGCATTTGAAAAGACAAAAATGCCCTTTGAATGTCATCTAATTTTCTTTTTAATCATCTAAATGTTGACAAAAAATGAACAGTCCCAAATTCTTTTCTCTTCTATTCAAGAAAGTTGGGGTCACGTCTCAGTGGACATTTTGGTGACCCCAACTTTCTTGAATAGAAGAGGCAAGGATTTGGGACTGTTCATTTTTTGTCGATGTTTGGATGGGATAAAGAATATAAGATGACACTCAAAAGGGCATTTGTGTCTTTTCAAATGTCACCCAATGGCTAGTCGATGGCTGATTAATGGTAGGTACTAAATTGGCACGTTTTGAAAGTTTGGGGACTAAAGTGGCACTAGGCCCAAAGTATAGGGTACTAATCGGGAATTTTCCCTTTATTTAATCAACCTTCTATTAAATGAAAATGGAAACTGACAGTTTTGACCCTAACATCCATTCAAATAAATACAATCAAAAGAAAATAAAAATGAAAATGCCATTTTTACCCTTAGACATGAGCTTTATTTTGCTCCATTTGGTCAATTTTGTTTTCTATACCAATAAGTGTTAGGGGTACTTTTGGAATAAACAACCACGGATCCATACGCTTAATCATTTTCCACTCGGTTTAGGTGACCATTAGACCTGTTCATGGGCTGGATAGCCCGACGGCCTGGCCTGTTATGTCGGACTTGGTCAAAATTTTAGGCCCACGGGCTCGGGCTCAGGCTTTCTCAAAAAAGCCCAGCGCGAGCCTAAGCCCAACATGATACTATATATTAAATAATAAAAAATATATATACAATATTTTTTCTTTGTTGTTCTTTTTTTTCAAATAATAGTGAGATGTTTATTATTTTTGAGTTTTGAAGGTTTTTAATATAATTAAAACACTTTTCTATTGAATAAAAAAAGAAAAAAAATTCTGTTTTCAAATTTCTGGCCGGGCTCGGGCTCGGGCCCGGGCCAGACTTCAGGCTTTATATGAGGGTCAGGCTCAGGCTCAAGACCTAGGCCTGATTATTGGGCCGGTCTCGGGCTCAGGCCTGAATGTATTCTGTTGATACATAGACAAAGCCCGACCCGAACCCATCCCGGCCTGGCCCATGAACAGGTCTAGTGACCATGTTATTATTTTAGATGGCAAAACAAATATTTCTTAATGAAAGATTGATTAAATAAATAGGTTGCAAACTATAAGGAGTGTTTCAAAAACTATAGGATATGTTTAAGTAAATCTGTGAAACTATAGGGTGTTCTAATAAACGACCCTTTTTCTTTCAAACGTATTAAAGAAAAACCTCCATCAGGACCTTCTTCTGGGGATCCTCCGGTTAGTTTGGCAATGGAGAAAACCTGTAGCCTGTAGGCGTGCCCCACATATGAAAGAGATGGTGCATCACTATTTGAAATTTTGAACAGTCCAAGTATGAATGGTGTTCTCTTGTGTCTCTGTTTCTCATTTTTTTCTTTACCCCCAGTTGATTGGGAGAACTCCACTTGTGTATCTGAACAAAGTGACTGAAGGATGTGGAGCTTATATAGCTGCCAAGCAAGAGATGATGCAGCCAACCTCTAGCATCAAAGACAGGTAAACCATCTTTCTTTTTGAGTAGTTCATGAACCCTATGCTCACTGGATGTAATAATTAATTAGCCTAACATTTGCATTTTGTACCCTGTTGGCCTCCTACTCAATCGTAAGCTTTGAAAACTGGCATGTCATTGCTTCAAAACCGACTAAGTTACTACATCTAACTGCATGCTGTATTCTACATTAAAGATTTTCACAATTTCTCATGTTATCCAATTGTTTTCTCTACACCCTGGTTTTCATTTATTTACTTGTTGTGTTAGGCCTGCATTTGCCATGATCACAGATGCAGAAAACAAACAGTTAATAGCCCCTGGCAAGGTAAAACTTCTGTTTAATTCCTACTTGTGCAAGCTGTAATTCATGATCCTTAGTTTGTGCATATTAACTTAGAAATCTATTCACCAATATCTTAGCTTAATATCCTAAATAGAAGTCTTGTTTAGTACCTCTATTAATTTGGTTTTTTCACTGTCTATCACTACCAACTCTCCAAAAACAAGTTATTTAAATATCTGACTTCTATATCTATGGTATAACAGACCGTGCTGATTGAGCCAACATCCGGGAATATGGGAATAAGTATGGCATTTATGGCAGCTCTGAAAGGATACAAGATGGTTCTCACCATGCCCTCTTACACAAGTCTGGAGAGGAGGGTGACCATGAAAGCTTTTGGAGCTGAACTAATCCTCACTGATCCCACTAAGGGGATGGGTGGAACAGTCAAGAAGGCGTATGAGCTACTGGAATCCACACCAGATGCATTCATGCTGCAACAATTTGATAATCCTGCAAATACTCAGGTAGCCTTGGCCTTTGTAAAAATCTATCCTTCTTGTTGGTTTAGACTGATTTTCTTTTCTTCTTAATTGGATTAGCTTCAGCTTTAACATAGTGTTGCTTTAAGATGAAAGGTTGTAAGAAGCAGACATGATGTTATTGAGAAGAATTACCGGTGAAAATTGAGTTGGAAAAAATTGAAAATTACTTGGTGTATTATGAGGAACTTATCACTAGCACCTACTGGAGATAATAGAGTGGTATAGTTTGAATATGTAAAATAAATCCCTATAAACGCACCAACAAGGAGTTACTTGGTGCAAGTTGAAGGTTCTCAAAGAACAAGGATAAAGCCAAAAGAATCTTGGTTTTGGGATCATTTCTTCTAGCTCATCGTTTAATAGAAGACATGGCCTTGGACAGAACACAATTAAGGAATGATAATTGTTATCAAATCCAAATTGGGTCTATTAGGCTTCTGTTGTGGATGTTGTGTATTTTTCCCACATGCAAGATGATATAGCTTAGTAGACCATCCATCAGATAAAAGATCTTTTGGATTGCTTATGTGTTTATTCCCCTAGCTACACCAGTCTGTACTTCATATGTGGAGATTTTCACAATTGATATTGGACTTGCCAAAGCTCCATCTTTTGATTAAATATACAAAAAAGGAAAAGAGAAAAAGCTTAGCTTGGACCATCATATGGTTGGGAAGAGTCTTACATAAGGTAATTTTGGTCCCCAACAGTGCTGATATCTGAAAATTTCCCACAAAAATTACATGATCTCTCTGAGTGCTTCAAGTAGAAAATCCATGTTGTATATGTTATCTACTGCTGTAAAATATGACTTACTTTTTCTAAATTATTTCTTGGACAATGAATTCAGTTGCATCCAATTGAAAACAGGTTCACTTTGAGACTACGGGTCCTGAGATATGGGAGGACACATTTGGGCAAGTCGACATCTTTGTGATGGGAATAGGAAGTGGAGGAACTGTCTCTGGTGTTGGACAATACCTTAAATCCAAAAATCCCAATGTTAAAGTAATTATATATTTATTTTTCAGTACTTTTTTGCATTTTAAAAAAATAATTACATTTTCTTGATTTTTTCTTCTCCTTGGCAGATATATGGAGTAGAGCCTGCAGAAAGCAATGTGCTAAATGGCGGTAAACCAGGTATATGCATTAGTGCTTATTCCATTTAGTACTTCATTGGAGTTTTAGTATGGTAAATATGTCTTTTCTATCCATTGTCCCATCTATAAATGCAATTGCAATTCTAATAGTGTTATTTGAAATAGGTCCTCATCATATAACTGGCAACGGGGTTGGCTTCAAACCAAATATACTGGACATGGATGTCATGGAAAAAGTTCTTGAGGCAAGTATTGTCGGTGATTCAAAAAATAATATTACTTCCAAATATTTTATTTTCTTCCTGGTTTGGCTATTTAAATGCCTGTTTGGTTAAATTACTGAAATTTGAAGTTCAAAGTTTTGATATGATTAATTCAAGAACCATCTAATTCTGGTTATGAAATTTGTGGTATCTATTAGGTTACTAGCGATGATGCAGTGAAGATGGCAAGAGAACTGGCATTGAAGGAGGGTCTCATGGTAATAATCTGGAAAATGCTTTTGATTTTTCTTGAAGAAGAGATTGAGATGGCCTTGTTATCAAGTAAAAGAGGGATGAGGGACACCAGTTTATATAAAATAAATGATGTTGGCTTTCCTTCTAGGAAAAATGCTTTAGTACATGAAACAATACTTTTGCTATTGCTTTTCAAGCAAGGGATGCTGTTTGTTATTTTTTCTTACAAAAAAAAACTACTGTTATTATTTTTTTAGGGGGGGGGGATTGCAAGTAAGGGCTAGTTTTTATAGGCAGTAGGCTCTAAATAAGGTTCAAAATTTTGACACAATACACCCCATATATGCCCCTTATTGGGCGTATCATATTGTATCGACCACCTGCCGAAATGGCTTATTGGGGGTATTTTAAGTAAATGTTATTGTTAATAGTTAAATAACATTAAATAAGTTTCTTTTGAAATTTTGAAAAAAAATCTAAAAAAATTGATGTGTTAGGTACAATGTACCAATGCACCCCTTCCGGTGTATTGAGGTGTAATGATACTTTGAACCTTGGTTCTAAATTCAGGTAGTTGGTACCAACTTGCAAACTTTACCATGTCAGCAAATATGTTAATTTAAATAGGATTATATTAACATAGAAAGCGATGTTAATAGAAATTTAGAAACTCTAATTTGTTATTTTCTTTATTGCCTTTAATGTACTGTACTGTAGTTTTATTTCTTTACCGTCACAGTTTGTGGGTGGTGTAATAAAATGTTGTGCCTAAATGTCAGAAAAATGGAGTTGGTTATAAAATGGTGATTTGGATATGTTTCAAGTTCAAAGAAATTGATAATTACTAAAATTAGCATACACATTATTGATGCTAACTGCAGCCATTTCCCTTTATATTTTCTATTCATTTGCTTCCGGTTAACATAATTTTGACTTCTGATCTTATGCTAAGCAACGATGACTGTTCCTGACTTGAAATTTGATATCTCAATACTTAGTCTTATGTTAACTTCAAATTTTATAGGTGGGGATTTCCTCAGGAGCTAATACAGTTGCAGCCTTGAAGCTTGCAAGAATGCCAGAAAATAAAGGCAAACTTATTGTGGTATGAAGAATTTGTTTTTCTTTGATTTTCAGCTTGCAGTTTATGAAAGCTTGTTTGAAACCAAAGAAAAGGAGGGGAACGTTTAAATTCAGGATGGGTGCTGCTGCTGTTTTTCTCTTGGGGAGTGTGAGGGGTTGAGGGTTACTAAAACATCACTTAACTTCGGAAAAAAATGGATTTTTTCTCTCTCAAGTAGATCCATAAATTACCTAATGTAATTTAATATTGGCTTGTTGTTTCACGTTTATTAAATTCATTGTTCAAGGGAAGGGGGTGGAATCTGTAAGTTCAGGACAGGTAGTTGAAAGTGGGTTGGAGATAAAAAGCAAAAGACAAGCATGATTTAATATGACCTATATCATATCTTTGTACAAGCTCATTGCTTGTCATTTCCCCTGGAGGGGACTAATCTGAAGAAATTTGACAGGGACAAAAATTAAAAAAAAATGAAAAAGAAAAATAAAAGGCTATTTCCCCCCAAAAGATGACTATCATGTAACTAATATAATTTTGATATGACGTATGAAGTATGTTTGATCCAAGTTCATGATGTCGTTTCTCTTTCTGTTTCATTCTTTTTTGTTTTTTATTTTGTTTTTTTTTTTCAGACTGTTCACCCAAGCTTCGGAGAGAGGTACCTGTCATCCGTACTGTTTCAAGAATTGAGGCAAGAGGCTGAAAAGATGCAACCAGTTGCTGTCGATTAATTTCTGTTAGTTATATCAGAAACTTGGAAGTTTTCATGTCTAAAATATATCCTATGTAAACTAACATAAACTACTATGGCTATCTCTAGGTCTATCCAAGTTAAGGAAAGATATCAAGTTTCATATATTGCATAATCCCTTTCAATGTATTCATTATAATGGCCAATAATTCTGTTTCTTTTCCAAGAAGGCTACTTTGCCTCGAGGCAAACTTGTTGCATTCTTCACGTCAACACACTGGAAATTAGCACCCAGATAAAAAAAATGGTGGAAAACGTTTTTCTGTGATGGCAATTTCCCTAGTAAAACCGGGGCCCCGTCTCGCCCCGCCCGAAATGGGGCAGATTTTCCCCAACCCTAAACTGGGATGGGGCAGGGACGGGGAAAATATTTTTTCCCTCAACCGGGGGTGGGGTGGGGATGGGTTTTGTATATAATTCTCCAAACTCGCTCCAAACCCGAAGATAAAATTAGTAAAATATCTCTAGGTTTAATATTGATATTTAAAATATCTCTAAGTTTTCCCTAAATTCTTAAAATCCTAGAATCCAATAATTTCATTTTTGAATTATCCCCAAAGTATTATAATTCAATTCCTAAAATACTCCCAAATTTTTATATTATATGTGAAAATTGTTCACAAAATAAATAATTTTTAAAAAATTACCTTGGAGCAGGGAAAATTCAGGAATTACCCATCCTTGAAGGAGAATGGATGCCCCACACTGAACCTGTCTTGCCACTGGGGACGGGGCAAGGGCAGAGCAAAGTATCTTGACTTCGGGGTGGGGACGGGGAGGGAGTTCCCCACCCCAAACCTGCCTCGTTGCCATTTCTACGGGCTTCTTTTTACAAAAATAAACATGACAATAAGGAGAAACAGGTTGAGATAGTAGTATTTTAGAACTTTGCAAACCAAGTGACAAACTGATTGGTCCAACTGCGTTGGACAAATCTCAGGCTGATGAAGTGATGGTGGATTATTTTGACTTTCTGAGTAATAAGGCTTCATTTTGAGAAGAGTGCAAATACAATATGTTCGGTGTAAGTAAGGTTCCTTGCATTTAAGTTTTATTATTTATGGATTTCTTTGTACTCTGCCGTTCCCAGTTTTATAGCCTCTGCAACTGGATTTCTTTGAAGTCAACGTCAGTTTGACAATTTGTGAAAAAGGCATGTTTGTTGTAAAGATTTCAACGTTCTAAATTTACAATGTCAATTTGATAACGCTATGAAAACAATTGTTTTGCCCTTTATGGGAAATTTAGGGTCCCTTTCCTTTGTGGTCCGAATTGGAATCGGGATTGGAATGGTCTATTCCCATAGTTTTTTTGGTTCAAATAGGAATGGGAATGGGAATGGAAATTGGAATCAACAAGAATGGGATTTCATTCCTAAGGGAGGGGCAGGAAATGGCCATTCCCTCAAATGGGGAATGCCATTCCAGCAGGAATAGGAATAGGATTCTGATTCTGCCCAATCAAACAGTAGGAATGAGATTCCATTCCGATTCCAATTCCAGGCCCTATTCCTGCAAACCAAACGGGGCCTTAGAGTTCAGTCAACATTAGGGATTATTATTAGGTTTTGGGGTTTTATTTACCAACACCTCCACCTACGATTAGGGGTGTCAATGGACCGGTTTTGGGTTGGACTCCGTCCAAATCAAAATCCATTTGGACGGATTGGATGGACCAATAAGACATATTGAATTTGGATGGATTGGACGAACCAATATGACATATTGGATTGGACCTGGTCCGTCCATAATGAATTTATATTGGATTGAGCCAATATCTAGTCCATTGATAGAAGATAAGAACATAGGTGTCAATGGACCAGGTTTGATTTGAAACCAATCTAAATTAACAGGAATTTGAACATATTGAACAGTCTCTGGACCGGTCCAAAATATTCATTGGACTGGATTGGACTAGGTCCATTTATAACAGACACATTGGACTAGACCGGATTGGACCAGATCCAATCCAATTGACACCCCTACCTACTATTCACTACCCCCTTGAATTTTTATTCATTCCCCATTTGGTTCTGTTTGAACTATACAAATTGTACTAAAGTTTATTGAGTGGACTGAACAATAGAAACCCCCTTGGGTGTTTTTTTTTTTCAACTATAGAGCCTTGGAAGGCTTGAAACTTGAAAGGGACTTGTATGAATTGTATTAAAGTTTATGGGGTGGACTGAACAATTGTTTCAAACTGCCATTGACCCAGATGGTCGGGAATCGTCTAGGCAACCGGTTTCGTTTTACCCCAAACCCGGTCCTTAGTAAAAAACCGTTGAATCAGTCAACGACCCGTTGACTTGGTAAGTCGAACCGTCAACTCATTGACCCGTTCAACGGTTTTTGACCATTTTTTATTTTTAATTATTATTTTTTGTTAGAACGGGCCATCCGTTCGAACTAAACAGTCAAACTATCGACCCAAAAACTGATGGCCAAAACGGTTCCTTTTCCGGGTCATTTTTTAAAACCATGGACTGAATAATAATATAGCCCTAGAGGGCTTGAAACTTGAAAGGAACCACTATTTCTGATTGGCATGGGCAGTAGTTGTACTGAGGGTCTGTTTGGTTGGCAGTCAGAATGGCATATTCCCATAGTCTATTTGGAAAATGGAATCAGCAGGAATAAGATTTCATCAAGGGAGGGGCAGGGAATGGTCATTCCCTCAAATTGAGAAATGCCATTCTAGCAGGAATGGGAATGAGATTCTGATTGTACCCAACCAAACAGCTAGAATCGGAATAACCCATTCCAATTCCGATTCGAGACCCCTATTCCTGTGAACCAAAGGGGGCCTGAATTTAAAGGATACCATGCTTTTTCTGCTTGGCATGGGCACTTGTACTGATTTTGATTCATGCATTGGACCATATGCATTCTTTGCCTAGTGCGATTCAAAAAGGCAAAGTTCCGTTACGGTGCAACTCCCACAAACAATTCTTGCAGCCCCAATTCAGGTCCAGTTATTCCTCTACCCATCAACAGATCCAGTTCCAGATCATGGCCTTTAACCCACTACTACACCAGCACCTACGTTAACCATTTCTACTGAACCACTGCTTGACACTCAGCTCACCGAGATAAGACAAGCTCCAGCTCAGTTACATGATTTTGTTTGCCTCACTGATCACTATTCAGTACCCTTTGTCCAATTATTCTATAGCAACAACCAATATTCCCTCTGAATTTCATAGGTCCAAAAACATGCATGTTGGTGACAGGCCATGCAAGCTGAACTTAATGCCCTCCAAGCCATTAATACTTGGACTCTTACCATACCCTTTGTTGAGTGAAACTAAAATAATGGAAATACATAATAGTAAATACATTTTTCTTATTTTCCATTGTAACACTATGAACTAGTATCATCATAGGCACGGATTATAATATTTAACTTATATAATTTATAATTTATACAAAAAAACAAATGTATTTTAAATACACTATGAACTAATTACATTTATTTCTTGAAGATTATTGATAATTAATACATGTTTTCAAAAAGTAATTTTAATGGTTATATTTTTTTAAGTTTTTGTAATTTATCATATTTATTGGGAATCATGTGAATCCAGTTATGGTAATTTCTTGGATAACTTTTGGTAATTATGACAAAATTATTGGTACTTTGTTTTTGGTTATTTTCTTGGCTAAGTTCTGGACATTAAATGTAATTTTCTGCTATTCATAGCTTAAATTATATTTATATAAATAATTTAAATATAATTACTTTTAATTACAGTTTAGAATTTAATTATATTACTTATAGTTTCAAATATAATTTAAATAATATTTAAAATACAATTCAATTGTAACTTACATTAATCAACAATTTAAAAACTGTTAATTAATGAATTAACAAAAAATATTAATATTTTTAATAAACACAATATTTTAATAAACACTATGAATTAATAAATACTGTAATTAATAATATTGCAATTATTGAAAATACTATAAAATACAATTAATTATTAATATTGTAGTTATTAAAAATACTGTTAATAAAATATAAATTATTTTTAATAAATAATGTTAATTAATTAAATACTATAATTATTAAAATTTTTGTAATTATTAAAAGTACTATATTAATTAAAATACTGTTAATTAATAAATTCAGTATTTTAATAAAAACTTTTAATTAATTAATAATACTGTAATTATTAAAAGTACTATATTAATTAAAAGTAAATTTAATAAATTATAACTTACATTATATAATTAATAAATACATTATTTAATACTATTTTTGAACAAATATTCATAATTATTTAAAAATACTATAATTATTAAAAAATACTGTTAATTAATAAATACATTATTCTTTAAAATATAGTAATTATTATTACTACTCCCTCCCTCTCTCTCTCTCTCTCTCTCTCTCTTCTTAAACATCTTTTTTAAATGCAATAATAACATACATTAAAATAAGAGGCCGCGGAAAACCCAAAGGTCTTTCTTTAATAATGTGCAACTTTATTAATCTAATCAAGATAAGCATTGATTACTTTTTTTTATATTTATAAAACAAAAAGAAAATAGGAACAATACAAAAAATGAGAAAATAGATAAATAACTCCTCTCGAAAAGTAATTTTAATGGTTATATTTTAAAATTTTTGGTAATTTATCATATTTTATTGGAAATCATGTTAATTCTTTTTTGGTAATTTGTTGGAAAATTTTTGGTAATTATGACAAAATTATTGGTACTTTGTTTTTGGTTTTTTTTGGCTAATTTATGTTCATTAAATGTAATTTTCTGCTATTTAATATAATTACTTTTAATTACAGTTTAAAATTTAACTATATTACTTAAAGTTTCAAATATAATTTAAATAATACTTAAAATACAATTTAAATTATAACTTACATTAATTAACAATTTAAAAGCTGTTAATTAATGAATTAATAAAAACATTAATATTTTTTAATAAAACAACATTTTAATAAACATTGTTAATTAATAAATACTATAATTAATAATACTACAATTATTGAAAATACTATAAAACACGGTTAATTATTAATATTGTAGTTATTAAAAATATTATTAATAAAAATTACTATATTAAAAATACTGTTAAAATACTGCAATTATTAAAAGTACTATATTAATTAAAAATATTGTAATTATTATTAATATTGTAAATTTTAAAATATGGTAATTATTATTATTAAAAATACTGTATTAATTAAAAGTATAGTTAATACTATTAGTGAATAAAATACTATAATTATTTAATTACTGTTAATTAATAAATACTGTAATTGTTAATGTTGTTTTTAATAAATTATAACTTGCATTATATTAATCAATAAATACAATATTTAATAATGTTTTTGAATAAATGCTGGTAATTATTTAAAAATACTTTGATTATTAAAAATATTGTTAATTAATAAATATATTATTTTTAATAAATACAGTTAATATTGTTAATTATTAAAAATATTGTAATTATTATTAATACTATAAATTTTAAAATACATGTGCAACTTTATTAATCTAATCAAAATAGGCAATGATTACTTTTTTTATATTTTTTAAATAAAAGAAAATAGAAAAGAAATGCAAAAATAGAAAAAATAGATTCATAACTTCTAAGGATAAACATCGTGACATGGACCGTCTTATTTTATTATGTATATGTTTGGCATCGATGTTGTAGATGCAACACTTGCTGATGTGTGGGTTTGAAGCATCATTTTTCTGAGAATACAATGTCTTTTTTTTTTCTGTTAAACATTGCTGCTAAGTAGGGTGTTTCTTGGAGCAACAACAACATTTTATATGAGAAAATGCCAAATTCGGCGTTGCTCCAAACCGCACATTCTCAATTTCCAAGGCATGGTTTGGAGTACTGTTTTTATGGAAAAACGGTTCCAAACACACAGGTGTTTCTTGGAACACCGTTTTTTCCAATGTAGCGCTGATGTGTCACCGTTATATGGAGCAACAACATCGATGTCCAACAGACGCTATATATAGATATATAAATATAGGACTAATGACCACACTAAGTGTTTGTTTGGCATCGATGCAATTGTTCTAGAAAATGGCGACACATCAGCACCATGTCTGAAAAAACGGTGCTCCATGAAACACCTGTTTGTTTGGAACCGTTTTCCATAAAAAAAGGGTGCTTCAAGCCATGCCTTAGAAATCGGGAAGGCATGGCTTGGAGCAACGCCGAATTTGGCGTTTCCTAGAGCTGCATAGACCTGTTCATGGGTCAGGTCGGGCTTTGTATATGTACCAACAAAATACACCCCGAGCCCGAGCCCGCCCCTCATATAAAGCTTGAAGCCCGGGCCCAAGCCCAAGCCCAAGCTTGACCAGAAATTTGAAAACAAAATTTTTTTCTTTTTTTTATTCAATAAAAAGTGTTTTATTTATATTAAAAACCTTTAAAACTCAAAAATAATAAACATTTCACTATTACTTGGAAAAAAGGAGAACAAAGAAAAATATTGTATATATATATATATATATTTTTTTTTTTATTAAATAAAAATATATTTTTATTATTTAATATATAGTATGAAGTTGGGCTTGGGCTTGAGCTGGGCTTTTTTGAGAAAGCTCGAGCACGTGGGCCTAAAATTATGACCAAGCCCGACTTAATAACGAGCTGGGCTGGGCTAGCCTGTCGAGCTACCTGGCCCATGAACAAGTCTAGAGCTGTAGCTCATTGCTGCCAACAAGGACATGAGGTGGCAATGATTGGGACATGATGTGGCACTGGATAATAGGTAGCTGTGCTAAAAACGTTTCCTGGAGCATTAGTACCAAACAGAAACATGTTATTGCTCCAGGAAATGTTCTACCTAGCAGAGACGCTTTTAAACAAAAAAACATCATTTTCTCAGAAAAACGGTGCTTCCAACCTACACAGTTGCAACACCGTTTTCTGATGTTGCAGTTACAACACTGTTTTCTGCTGATGTGTGGCTTGGAGCACCGTTTTCTACATTTTTTTTGTTTGGAATCATTGCTATCAGGTAGAACATTTCCTAGAGCAACAACTTTTTCTGTTTGGTGCCAATGCTGTAGGAAACGTTTTCTGCACTTCTACTCATTATCCATTGCCACACCACTGTTACATCATTGCCTATTGGTAACAACGAACTTCAGCTCCAGGAAACGCCAAATTTGCGTTGCTCCAAACCATGTTTTCCTAATTTTCAAAGCGTGGCTTAGAGCACCGTTTTCTGTAGAAAAACAGTTTCAAACATATAACTATTTCCTGGAATACCGTTTTTTCCTACATACCGCTAATGTGATGCCATTTTCTGGAGCAACATCAACGGTTCCAAACAGACGCTAAGAGGTTGAATGGTTACGCGCCTTATGACCAACGTGGAGTATTATAATTGGTTCCACGTACCGCTTAGCAGCTATTGCATTGGGCAGGCATATTGTTAAAAATGCGCCATGGTAAACCCTCTCCGGTAACCCATCTAAAACCCTAAAATCGTAAACCTATATAGAAATAGAACGTCCATACCTTCCCACTTGCTTCACTGTCGGCTGAAGTTCTATTCTCCTGTAAACTGGTTTCCCTCTCGCAGTCTCGTCTAAATCTCAGCGATGAGACCTCCAAGAGGTAAAGCAAACCTTGTGGTTCTATTCGGTCCTTTGTTTCCCTGTTATGTTTCTTCCAATATTATTCTCCCTCTAGCGTATAATCTTATAATAATGTTCTATCCTGAAGTTGATTTTCAGGGCGTGGCGGTGGTGGATTTAGAGGCCGAAGCGATGGAGGGAGAGGAAGAGGCAGAGGTGGTGGCGGAAGAGGTGGAGATGGAGGTGGAAGAGGTCGTGGTGGGGGTCGCGGAGGCGGCCGGGGTGGCGGCCGTGGTCGCGGTGGTCGCGGTGGGGGAATGAAGGGTGGGAGCAGAGTCGTAATTGAGCCTCATAGGCACGAGGGTGTATTCATTGCGAAGGGCAAAGAAGATGCTCTTGTTACTAAGAACATGGTCACTGGCGAAGCAGTTTATGGCGAGAAGAGGATCTCTGTGCAGGTAATCTCATTATACTTTTAATGGCTACTTTTTTCTTCTTAGAGCCGAGACGATTGCCAACTTATTCAGGTTGTCTGGACTCTGGGTGGTGAATGTATTGCATTTCTATGTTTTGATGCATTTTTTCTCAAACTTCTGCTATTCAGAACGAAGACGGATCCAAGGTTGAATATAGGGTTTGGAATCCTTTCCGTTCTAAGCTGGCAGCTGCCATTTTGGGTGGTGTTGATAATATCTGGATTGTGAGTATTTCCTTTGTGCATACTTATATTTTTGAATGATTTTTGAGATGTCTTACAGTTTCATCTGTGGTTTTTTGAGCTGTTATATGTCGAAAAGGGTTTCGATTTATTTTTGTTACTATATCTATTCAATTGAAGGTTCCGGGAGCTCGGGTGCTGTATCTTGGTGGTGCTTCAGGGACCACAGTCTCGCATGTATCTGACATCGTTGGACCTGTGAGTATGATCTGTGTTTAAGGTTTACAGAGCTTTGTTGTCTGTATTTGTATTGTGAAATGAAGGGTATAAATTTGGCAACTTGCTTAAAATTTTGGGTCCTACTATTCATCTTCTGTTTGATAGACTGGAGTCGTCTATGCGGTGGAGTTTTCGCATAGAAGTGGCAGGGACTTGGTTAACATGGCCAAGAAGCGAACAAATGTCATACCCATAATCGAGGATGCTAGGCATCCTGCTAGATATCGAATGTTGGTAGGCATGGTCGATGTTATATTCTCTGATGTCGCTCAGCCTGATCAGGTATGATTTGTCATGCATGGCATGCCTTCTTTATGTTGTATAATAAATTAATAATTGGTCTACTCAATGTTTTATAAGAAGGGGCTTGTGTGTATATGTTTGTGATTGTGTAGTGTGTACTCGGTAGTCCTTAAACCTGGTGCTACATATCCCATCCATTCCAGTTCATCATCTTGTCTTGTTAGGTATATTTATTTGTAATCTTTATTGTTGCCTGCACGATTTCTGCATTACTGGATTTGATTTTTTGCTTGTTTTTATCATTGTTTTCTTGTTGGGATCTCAATGACACATCCTGTGTTGCTTTGTTGAATTCTGTTACTGACACCTGCTGCAACTTGAGATGATTTGAGGGATCCAAATTTTGACTTTTTTATCTTTGTGCCCTTAACATTGGATAGATTGCTTTTTCTTTTTTCTCAATCAAGCAAATGATGAATAACTCGGATTCCCCTTCAAGACATTATGGGTGATGTACAGCTCGAGTTTTCTGATGCAAATGCGTTTAAATCAACGGTTGATACTTATTGCTTCTGTTTGTTCTTTTTTGTAATTATACTTTAGCTCAATGTCTTTGGAGCTGCTAACTGGATAATAGCAAGGGCACAACTAAAACAGTATTGGGTGCAAAAATTACACCATTAATTTAATTGAACAAATTGTCATCCATCCTTGTATAACATCAGTGTATATACAAGGGCTATTTTAAATATTACTGATTGCCAAACCTTGAAGGTAGGGAACCAGCAACTTCAAGTCGTAACCACATTTATCATCTCCTGGTTTTTGTCCTCCCCTCAGAAGGGGTTTAAAGAAAACAGCTGTACACAACAGTTTAATCTACAAAATGTTGCCACGTTAACAATGTTTCTTTTAACATGTTGGTGAATTAGAATTCCTTGGAATCATCATCATCATCATCTAAGACTTATCCCAACCAGGATCCATTTTCTGAACCCTGTGTCACCATTCCGTTCTGTACTCCTGTTTAGTGCCATATCCACAAGGCTTTGGGCCTATGACACAAAAAAATAAGTCATGGGCTTTATTTAATTCCTAGATTTGGCTTGGCTTGCCTATCCTTTTATTAGATGAAGGCAAGGCTTTCATTCCTATTCCAAAGTATATGAGACTTGGAATACACTGATTATTTTGTATGTTGTCCCAAGTTCCATAGTGCTTTGGAATGGTAATGGAGGCCTTGCCTAGGAGGACAACTCATACTTGATTTGACTTGTTGACTCATGAGTCAACTCATGAATCTGTATATGTTCAATTTTTTTTAGTTTATGCAAAATATTTAATATAAGATAATATATATGTATATATATAATATTAAGTATATATAGTTTATTATATATAATACACACATTTAGGTGGAATTTGAATGACTTGGAGATAGGGATGGTGGGTAATTTGTTGAGAAAAATGTTTTAAGACTTGGTTTGGACACAAAAACAGAATGCTTCTTTGATTGCTGGGTAGAGGTGTAAATCTGGGCCAGCATGGCATGGCCCACGGGTTGAGCAGGGCCATTCTTCCCTCCCTTGGGATACTTTGGGTGGTTGGCCCGGCACAGCCCACGGCTTGAGCCTGCATGGACCTATGCCATGGGCCAGGCTGGGCTGAGTCATGTTTTTTTTTTTTTTTTTTTTTTTTTTAAATTTGAAAAGAAATAATGAAAAAGTTAACATAAATTTAAACAATAGACAAAAAAATTTAAAAGATCTTAAAATTTTATTTTATATGAATTTTGATGTATACAATTGTTTATATATGCAATAGTAAAATGAAATAATACAATTAAATTGAAAATAAAATTATATATATAGTAATATATTCTATATAAATAAGTATTGTATAATATATTATATATAAAATATATGTATGGGCTGGGCCGTGCTGGCATGTGGGTTGTAGGCGGCACGACCTGCTCTGTCGTGCTGTGTCGTACTGCCCATGGACCTGAAACCCCAGGCCTGACACAGTCCATATGATCGTGTCTGGCTGCAGGTGGCACGGCCCGATTTACACCTCTATTGCTGGGTCAAATGGTTTGACCACAATTCACACATATTTAATATATTTAAAATTAATTGTAAAATATAACTTGTCTTCCCCTTTTTTGTCATCGATCTCATTGTAAAGGAAAAGATCTTATGGTAACAGCTGCCCTTGCAATCATTTCAGAGGTTTGGAAAGAATAAAACTAAAGGGCTTTTCAGGAAGTGTTACTAAAGAGGTACTTATGGGGAAAATTGAACAGGGGCTAATTTGGTGGGATAGAGTTCAATAACAGTGTTTTGGAGTTTCAGTTGGTGATTTTACACAATGTTTTAGAATGCGGAAGCATGACATGAGGCATTCCACTACCTAGAGGCGTGAGGCGTGTTTAGAACATAATAGGTGCAAGCCTCCCAAACACAAGGGAGGCATAAGCCTCCTTGAGAGGAGGGGGGAATGAGGAGGAAGAAAAGGAGGAAAAATATCATTTTTCTTTATTTTTAATAAAAATCTTTTATATTAACAAAAATGAAGATGCATAGCACTAGTTGAAAGGGGGGGTCTTGTTGAAGAAAAAATATCATTTTTCTTTATTTTTAATAAAAATCTTTTATACACAAAAAACCAAATTGGGGCTGCAATGAAAAGGGGGTTTGGGGCATAAAGCCCCCAGCCCACTTTCTTTCCCCTTATCTTTCTCTCTCTCTCTCTCTCTCTCTCTCTTCCCCTTCTCTTTCCTTTCCTTTTTTCTTTTTTTTTTGTCTTTTTACATGAGGCGTATGCCTCTAGCATGCCTCATGAAAAAAGTGTATGAGGCGTACGCCTCTTGCACCTAAAGCATGCGCCTTAGGGCATTTTGGGGGTGCCTCAGCCCGGAGGCACACCTCCAGGTGTACGCTTCCCACACCTTTTAAAACACTGATTTTATGAGTAACTGGAAAGCAATTATAATGTGTTTATCTGTATATCACTGTAAAGGATATAGTGGTACTCTTTGAATAGTTTTTTCTACAGCTTCTATTGTATGGTGGAGGTTGTCTGGCCATCCCTCAGTTTCTCACTGTTAATATAATTTTTTTTGCTTGCCTATCAAAAAACTATATAATACATGATAGCATATATTGTAATGTAAAAATGTTTTGCGTATTATATATTATCATATATATTTAATAATATATATTATACTGTATTATTGTGGGTCTGGCTGTGCCTAAACGGTTGGGCCCAAGCCTGGCTTGGAATTTTGCAGGTTAGATGTGGACCTGAGATGGGCTGGGCCAGGCCAAGAATGATCACCTTTACCCTATCCATTTTAGTTTTTCCACTCATCCATCTTGGCATATGCATTTCTGCAAATCATCCATCTCAGTTTCATAATAATCATTGTTATTCTTCATAGTTAATGCTTTATTTATTTACTTATGATAAATAAAGAAAAAAATTTTATTATTAAAGAAGAGTTTTCAGCTCATGGTGATGAGGTCACCCCCAAGAAACAGAAAAAAACAGAACAGACATGCAAACAAAATACATCAGACTGAAGGATTAACACATCCCTTTATTTAATTTGTATCCATGTCTTGGAGTCAGTGATGCACATCTTTGCAGATTCTAGTTTGTTACACTTGTATTTCTTGACTCTTGTTAGTTCCTTGAATGCAAATTGATATCTGCTATTAGTTTTTGTGAGTGGTGTTTTTGAAAATAAAAATTTTCATGGGACAATTGCATCGTTGATACATTCAAGTCCTTGTGTGTTGACAAGATAAATTCTGAAGGTTGCCTATTATTTCACAGAAAAAAGCATTGTTTTTATATCATTCTTGCATTTAATAAGTTGATATGTATGATTGGATAAGTATTTCATTCCTTATTTTATGGATATATCATATATCAGTATAAAACCTGTTTTTGTTTTTTTCTATTTCGAGGCTCAATTCTTTGGTTGTGTGCTTGGAAACTATAACTTCATTAACTTGTGATATTGAGAAACCCTTTGCAACTCAGGGTGCAAAATATGAAACGGGAAGGCATGATATCTAAAAACCTACAACCAATCAACTGGTATCATAGAAGTGGTATCCAATCAGCTGGTGTTCATCAAAATTCACTGGGAGTTCTGATTTGTGAAAGCTCTTCTATATCATACCTCTCTGGCATAATAGATATTGCTTGTTATTCGAACTTTACATCAAATGGTTTTGCAACGAGTGTTCTGGGATTAAAAATTCCAAACATTGGGATTTTGTTTGGTATTGTTAATTCAGCATATTTGTGTCCATAAGTTGAACTTTTACCTAGTTGACTGGTAAGGATCTTTGCCTAATAGTTTAATTCTTCACCTGCTTTATCTATGTTTTGGCTGGTAAGGATCTTTGCCTAATGGTTAATTCTTCACCTGCATTTTCTATGTTTTACATGTCTGTTGTTGGCATATACTTTGCAATTCTTTTTTCGTTATTTGAGATATTTCATATTTATATGCACACCTATTAGTTCACTGTTGAGTTTGAAAGATTGTTCTAAAAGGTTTAACGAAATAATGAAAATGGCATACAGGCATGTCAAATCTAAGAATTGGCCTATGTGACTTTTCATTATTATTTGCTGACATGATTACTGTTGCAGGCAAGGATCTTAGCACTTAATGCCTCGTACTTCCTGAAGAATGGAGGCCATTTTGTGATATCAATTAAGGTTTGTTCTTTTAGTTTAAATCTTTCCAGCCATTCCGGATTTAACCCGTCTAACCTATTCATGTATTGGCAAGAATTTCAGTCTATAATACATTGATACTAGCAAGACATGATACCTGAAAAACTTATAACCACCGATCAACCAGTCAACTATTATTCATCAAAATTTGCCTGGGAGAGGGGTTTCCTCATCATACCTTTCCAGGATCATAGATATTGCTGAAATGATAATATAAAGCCGATTGGGTCTTGTGATCTCCTTTGAATCACATTATTTATAGATCATTGTATTTGTTTTTCTTGATTCTATTTCCAGGCGAATTGCATAGATTCAACTGTTCCTGCTGAGGCGGTGTTTGTCCAAGAAGTGAAGAAGTTGCAAGCGGATCAGTTCAAACCGTCTGAACAAGTTACGCTTGAGCCGTTTGAACGAGACCATGCTTGTGTGGTTGGTGGGTACAGGATGCCGAAAAAACAGAAAACTGCTGCTTAGTTTGATAAATTGTAGAACTTTGTTTTCTTCATTATTTTGTCAAGGTTGTGACTTGGTAAGTAGGAACACCCGGCATTTATATGCTCTGATAATTATAGTTTTGCCGCAGATATTACTTTGTTTTAATGGTTGACATTGTTGCATTTGTTTTCTATTTTCATTTGATGAACAAAATTGGTAGTTAGTTATTCGAGTTACGCGACGATCGTATAGACGGAATCATCTATCCAACGTTTCAACGCCGAAGTTTTCTACGTGGGAGTGTCTCGTCAATTGTAGTCTTCTTTAAGCTAATTCGCTAGCTACTTCCCTCTAATCTCTCTCTCCTTTTTTCATATATTCATGGCGGACGATGAGTTGGTCTGGAATTTCTCTATTCTCCTACGAGCTATTACTATGCTCTTGCAACCACCGAGTACTCTTCTTGGTACAAAGCTTATCCGTTGCCAGAGAAAAGTTGCATACCCATGAAACAGGGGATGTTCTATCAGTTATTAGAACTACGTAGTCTTAGCAAGCTGGGTTCCTTATCATCAAGTAACTCGAATTACTTTCCTTCCCAAGGACTATCTCGTGATTGGATGGTGTTTCCTGCCCTCCCATCTGGTTCTTTTATAGACGACCAAATACAAATATTGAGTAATGAAGGGTTTCTAGCTGATAAGGGCAATTTTTTTGCCTTGAATATAAATAACAAAAATAATTTCGATTGTAAGTTTTTGTCCTATCGTTAGTCCTACGAATTATACTCTTGATCATGCTGATTTTTGGGTCCATCTCTTGGGGTTTCTTATGGCATATTTGAATTTCAATGCTGTTAAAAAGGTGGCCTCACAAACTTGGCAAACCATATGGCCCATCGTCAAAGGAAATTCCTAAGTGGGGGCGTTTTGCGAGGATTGGCGTGGCCATTGATGTTACTACACCTTTAAAATTGAAACAACATGTGTCTTTTACTTAGGGGTGTCAATTGGACCCAATTTGGTTCAATCCAATTTAAACAATATGAGTCCAATCTAGTCAAATTGGTTTTAGTTTACATTGGTTCCAATCCAAATCTGGTCCATTGACACTTATAAGAATCTTTTATAAATGGACCGGATATTGGTTCAACTCGGCCGAATCCAATATAAATCCTTTGCGCATGGATCGAGTCCAATCCGATCAATGAATACTTTGTACCATCAAGTCCTGTAGTGTGATGGCATTCCACCTTAGTACCGCATTGCAACATTACCATAGTGCAACCCCTCTACACCAATACTTGGGCATTTTCGAGAAGAAGTCTTTATGTCACAATTAGGTTACCTTCTAAAGGGGTAGTAGCCGTGTTGGTGCTCACGTGTGAATTTTGAGGAGAAGGGTAGAAACCCAAACCCTGTGATCTCCATGGACACGTGGTGACACCCTATTTGGCTTGTCTATTTTAGATAACAGAATAGCAAACTTTTCCACTTGAGAAAGTTTCCCTCCTTTACATGCCTCATGTCTATAAATAGGAGGAGCTCGAGGCCTTTCTCACCTTCTAGTCTTCCAAATCTCTTATATAAGCTTTGTTGGACTGCAACCACTGTTTTCAAAATCAAACCGGACCGGATGGTCAGACCGAAAAAACCAGAAACTGGTCACTTAATCGATTCTGTTTTCCTCCAAAATCACTTTTTCCCTTAAAACTGTTGATTTTGATCAGCAAACCGTTCAACCGGCCGGTGGAACTGGTCACTTAATCGGCCAACTGTGAGCTGGGATGAGGAGCCCTGGATCCTTCACGTAGATGGCTCCTCGAACCAACAGGGCAGCGGTGCCGGAATAGTTCTGCACGGCCCAAGCAGCATGAAATTGGAGTACGCGCTACGCTTCGAGTTCGAGGCGTCTAACAATGAAGCAGAATATGAGGCGTTGATAGCCGAACTAGCCTTAGCCAGAGAAGTAAAAGCCAAGCACATCATTATCTACAGCGACTCCCAGCTCGTGGTCAACCAGGTCATGGACGAGTATGAAGCTCACGAGCAGACCAAGGTCGCCTATTTAGCCAAAGTCAGAGAGGCCCTGCCCAATGAGCTTCTTGTTACATGGCACCCACCTTACAGAGCGCAATGCAGCCAGAAGGGTGCAACGTCAAGCAGCTAAATACGTCATGATAAACGAGCGGCTATACAGGAGATCCTACACACTCCCCTATCTGCGTTGCTTGCAACCTACCGAAGCCGAACTCGTACTCCGTGACACTCATGAAGGTCTGTGTGACGGACACTTGGGGGGCAGGGCCCTCGCCCAGAAAGCGCTTCGACAAGGGTATTACTGGCCAACGATGAAGGCAGATGCCATTGAACTTGTTAGAAAATGTGATAAATGCCAGAGACATGCCAATGTTCACCACCAATCCGCTGCCGACCTCAAATATCTCACCAGTCCGTGGCCTTTTGCACAGTGGGGCATTGATCTACTCGAGCCATTCCTGCTAGCAACGGGTGGAAGGAAGTTCTTAGTGGTAGCAGTAGACTATTTTACCAAGTGGGTAGAAGTCGAACCCCTCGTAGCAATAACAGCCCGAAATGTCCAAAACTTCTTTTGGAAGAACATCATATGCCGCTTCGGATTACCTCGGGTATTGATCTCCAACAATGGCAACCAGTTCGAGGACATCAAATTTTAAGACTGGTGCCGAGACATGGGGATCCAACAGAACTTTACTTCAGTCGCGCACCCTCAGGCAAATGGTCAGGCAGAAGTCACGAACAAAGCCATCCTCCGCAGACTAAAGGCACAGCTGGATCGAGCTAAAGGATTGTGGACAGATGAACTACCCAGTATTCTATGGGCCTACCGGACCATGGAGAAAACCGCCACAGGAGAAACACCCTTCAACCTCACTTGCGGCACCGAAGCAGTGATCCCCGCAGAGATCGAAGTACCTACATTGCGCCTAGAAGCATACAGTGATCAAGCAAACGAAGATGAGCTACGCAACAACCTCGACTTACTCGACGAAGTAAGGGATCTCGCGTACATTAGGACCGCAGCCTACCAGCAGAGAGTAGCTCGGTACTACAACGCCAGGGTCAAGAAGAGGAACCTCCGCATTGGCAACCTGGCCCTTCGTAAAGTTATGGTAACTGAACCCAGCACTGGCAAACTCGGGTCCAACTGGGAAGGTCCTTACTGAGTGAAACCAGTGCTCAGGGAAGGAACATACGAGCTCGAGACCCTCGAAGGGAAACAAGTACCTCGAGCATGGAATATTGTCAATCTGAGGCAATATAATCTATAAGAAGCAAGTAGGCCACGAGCTACTCCCAAAGCCTAATGGTCAGAATACCGAGCTAACATGACCTCGGCACAAGAAGACCCCAATCGCCACTTCGGCTTGGGAGAATCCAAGAGCGGACTACGGGTCCCTTCTTAAGCCTAAGGGCCAAAACACCGAGCTAACAAAGACCTCGTCGTGAAGAAAGGCAGTTACCTCAATGGCGAAGGCAAAGTATGAAATATTAAAGGCGTAAGCAGCTCGGGTTCAAACCCTACGAAGCATAGCTCATCTCGATACGTCGGTCGAACTAAAGGATAACCAACCAATGCTTAGTTCGGACGTATGTAGTAATCACTTCGCGGTATGCCACGGAGGCCCTAAACGTGACAAATAGGGAGAACGCCTACCGAAGAGCCCTACTTAGGGTAGGTAACTTCAATAACCCAAATGATGAGATCGGTTTAGCAAAAATAAAAGGAGTTCATTATGCTCAGAAGAGGGGAGAAATTTTCATTGTCAAAAAAAAACAACAAACAAATGCAGCAAAGGAAAATAACAAGTGCAACAACTGAGCTAAGCAGCTCGGGAAAGGTTTTGATCATCATAGGGCACAACCGCCCAACCGAAAAATTGGTGAAAGACCGAGTTCACGGCACCCGGAAGCTACAGAAGCCCAGAGAAACGCCACCTCAAGGATCTGCCTCCTCATCCTCCGAAGAGTCAGGCTCCTCTTCATCCGCTTGGTCTGCTGTCTCAGGGGACAGACCTTTCATAGTAATGCCATCGAGGTTAAGCCCGGAGAACTTCTTCCGAACCAGCCATCGGAAGAGCTTAAACCCTGAGCGGTACAAACCCGAGCCATACTCTGCCTGGAGGTCATGAAATTCCTGGGAGTTTTTAAAATCCCAGACTGCTTTCTCTCGCTCAGCCTCCACCATCTGGTCAAAGTTTCGGGTCCGATTCAAAAGAGTGGACTCCAAGTCCCGCACCTGTTGCCTGAGGAGCTCCCCCTCCCCCGCCATCCTCGACGATTCCTCCCTATAGCGTGCGCTCTCTTCAGTAAGCCGAGCGATTTGAGCCTCCTGGTCGTGAATGAGCAGCTCCTGAGACTCGCTCCCCTTGCGGGTGTGATGGAGCTCGCCTCGGATCCGGTCGAGCTCGACTTAGAGCTTCTGGTTGGCAGCACGCTGGTCGAGGGCGTCGACGCGATGGATGCGCGTCTGGAGAGCCATGGCATGGATGACAGAATTTACCTATCGGCGAAAAAGAAAGATAAGAAGACAACGGAAAAGGGTAGAACAAGAGAGAAAAAGGGAAAAAGGCCACTTACCACCATGCAGTGAGCAGAGGCGAACACGGAGAGATCCCCGGGCTCCATGTTTCCCCACTGAGCGATTTCATCATTAGTGATTGCCTTCAGACTCCTCCGACGAGCCACCAGATAATCATTTACCCCTTCCCAGTTTCCCACTGGGAATCGGGGATAAGGACGGGGCTGAAGGGGGTTAGAGGGTACCTCCCCCGGCTGAGGGAGCTCGCTTCCCCCAAGGTTAATCCCACTAGTCCCCTCAGGAGGGGGCGTCGGAACCTCGGGTGGAGAGGGCAAGACCGGCTCGACAGACCCGAACTCAGTGCTTCCCGAAGGAGGGGTCCGGTCGGGGTGCGTCCTCTTCACCTGGCGTCTCTGGCTGCCTGAGAGAAGGCGGCGCGAATCGGCACTAGACATGATGGCTGCCAAAAGACCACAAGATATTAGTCCAACAAGAAACAAAATGCATGTGTACACAATAGTCACAAGGCACTACGCGACCTAAAAGACTGACCTACCCGGGCTCAAGCCTGCCTGCACGAGCTTCTTCTTGGCTAAGTAGTCCGAGCAAAGGAAGCCTACCGACGCTCAGGACAGCATC